CTTCAGAATTTTGGAAATCAGGATATACAAGATACATTATTTGCATAAGTAGGAGATAAATATTTAAAACAAATTTTTAAATCAACCATTTCTTTTTTTGCTAAGATTTTATTTATTTATTTATTTATTTATTTATTTATTTTTAAAGATTTTATTTATTTTTTCATAGGAGACACACACAGAGAGAGGGAGAGACACAGGCAGAGGGAGAAGCAGGCTTCCTGCAGGGAGCTGATGCAGGACTTGATCCCAGAACCCCAGGATCATGCCCTGAGCTGAAGGAAGATGCTCAACCACTGAACCACCCAGGTGACCCAAATCAGCCATTTCTGATGAGAATCCTTGCTTGACCTCAACGCTTCTGTACCCTCAGTTTTTCATTTCTTGGATTCTGAGCCATGCTCCTTGGGTTCCTGGAGTATGAACACCTCCAGCAATATGCAGCCCTTGTTGGTGAAGGCAGCAGGAGGCTCTGAAGCATTGAAAGAGATGCTGGTAATAGCCCCTCCTTAGACTGAAGAACTTTGCAGTGGAGCGAGTATCGGTATTGGATGACTGGGGACCCCCAGGGTTTGCCAGCAGAACTTTCCCTGGACAAAAGGGCCATGTGGGGCCAACCCAAGGTTGAAAGTGAGCCAAGGCACAACTGGTTGAAACCCCAGTGTTAACTGCAAACTTGATAAGCATACCCTTCTTTTTTTTTTTAAGATTTGTTTATTTATTTTAGAGATAAGGAGCATGAGCTGGAGGTGGAGGGAGGAGCAGAAGGAGAGGGACAAGCAGACTCCACACTGAGCGTAGATTCCAACATGGGGCTTGATCCCACAACCCTGAGATCATAACCTGAACCAAAATCAAGTCAGACGCTTAACTGACCACACCACCCAGGTGCCCCAATAAGCATACTCTCAAACTTTTCCTTCAGGACACCCACTAATGCTACTGACTCTTCAGTTATTGGGTGGAGTGATCTCTATACGTCTAGGAGGCCAGGATTTGTCAGTGGTGTCATTCAAGTCTTGAATGATCCTACTGAGTTTTGTAGTTGCTGCTGTTGTTTTGTCCACTTGTTCTGTACATTATTAAAAGGAACATATTCGAATCTTGTATATTTTGAGGTCTTATTATTGGGTGTATTCCCATATAGAATATTTAGAAATGTTCCATCTTCCTTTTTTTTTTTAAGTGGAACCTAACATGGGGTCAGAACTCACAACCCTGAGATCAAGATCTGAGTTGAAATCAAGAGTAAGACACTAAACCAATTGAGCCACCCAGGAGCCCCTGTGTTACATCTTCCTGCTGTGCTGGATTTTGAATCAATTTGAAGTGACATTCTTTATTCTTAGTGTAGTTTTTTAAAAACCAACTTTATTGGGATACAATTTACATGCAACAAAATGCATCCATTTTTAAGTGTTCAAGTGGAACTGAGGCACATACACTCAGGTAACTACGAATATAATCCCTTAATTTTTGCCTTTCTTTACAGCAAAGTATTTGTTTTTAGTTAAATGTATTGAAGCATAGTTTACATTCAGTAAAATTCACATTTTCATGACCTGTAATAAATGTATACAGTTGTGCATCACCACAATCAAGATATAGAATATTCACATCATCCCTCAAAATTCCCTTATGCTCCTTTGTAGTCAATTTAGAGTTGCCAGATTTAGCAAATTTAGCTGGGCAACCTGTACTTTATTTGGCAAATCTTTTTTTTAAATTTATTTATTTATTTATGATAGTCACACACACACACAGAGAGAGAGAGAGAGAGAGAGAGAGAGAGAGAGAGAGAGGCAGAGACATAGGCAGAGGGAGAAGCAGGCTCCATGCACCGGGAGCCCGACGTGGGATTCGATCCCGGGTCTCCAGGATCGCGCCCTGGGCCAAAGGCAGGCGCTAAACCTCTGTGCCACCCAGGGATCCCTATTTGGCAAATCTAAGCCATTCTTGTACCCTCTCCTATCTCCTGGTGACTACTGATTTCTGTTTCTATACTTTTTTCTTTTCTTTTTTGTTTTTCAAGATTTTATTTACGTATTCATGAGAAACACAGGGAGAGACAAAGACATAGGCAGAGGGAGAAGCAGGCTCCTTGCCAGGAGCCTGTTGCAGGGTTTGATCCCAGGACCCCAGGATCATGACCTGAGCCAAATGCAGATGTTCAACCATTGAGCCACCTATACTTTCATCTTTTCATGAATGTCATATAAATGGAATCATATTGTGTGTAGTTGTTGGTTTGTAACCTCTTTGGGAGCTTTCTGTGTATAATATGAAACTGACCCCAAAATGCAGAGGGCAGGAAGAGACCGAAGAAAGAGAAAGTGCACTCCAGTTTGGTAGGTGGCAGTTTTAATAAGTGAAGGGAACTTATATATGAGGCTTGTCTTAGGTGGCATTAATGTGAGTGAATCCCTTCACCACCTTCTGAATCTTCAAAGTTTATATATAGAGAAGTCTTAACCAGTGTCACATATATTGCTCAGGTGTTCTCAACACCAAGTCATTATCTTAAGCCTATATCCTTGGAGCAACCTCTGAGAGCGGGAAAATCAAGCAGAACCCACATTCCATGGACAGGGGAGAGGCTGAGTAGCTTCTGAGAGCCCAGGTCCAGCTCACAGGTCAACTGGAAGTCACATCTTCTTTTTTTAAAATATTTTATTTATTTATTCATGAAAGACACACACAGAGAGAGGCAGAGCCATAGGCAGAGGGAGAAACAGTCTCCATGCAGGGAGCCCGATGTGGGTCTTGATCTCAGGACTCGATCCCAGGACTCTGGGATCATGCCCTAAGCCAAAGGCAGACGCTCAACCTCTGAGCCACCCAGGCGTCCCCAGAAGTCACATCTTCTTAATGACCTTCCTGAACAGTAGTTTCTCCTGTCTGGTTGGTTTCTCTTAGCATAAAGCTTTTGAGATTCTTCGGTCATGGTGGCTATATCAGTAATTCTGCTTTCTACGACTAATAGTCCATCGTATAGTACAGTTGTACCAAAATGTTATATCCTCTCACCCACTGACTGTCATTTGAGTGTTTCCAGCTTTTAGCAATTATCAATAAAGTTGCTGTAGACATTTTCATGCAGGTCTTTGTGGGTATATATGTTTTCACTGCCTCTGGGTAAATATGTTGGAGATTGCCAAACTTAGTATTTCTGAACACTATAAGTGACAGGTCAGGAACATCTGCCCAATAATGCATACAGAATTATATTTCTATTTTCATCATTATCCATCTTAATTCTACAAATTTTCATAATTTTTAATGTCCTTTTCTGTTTACAATAAAAACAAACCTTCGATTAATAATGACAATGAGGTGAAAATTTTCCCTTTTTTTTTTGTCTCCTAGGAGTGATGGTTCAGAATTCACTAAGTCAGTCTTCATGGAGACCTTATTGAACATAACTACCATGGGTAATGATAGTTACCTCTTACTTGCTGTCACTCAGCTAAAAAGTGGGGCTGGGATTTGAAGCCAGGCAGGGTTACTCCAGAGCTCTTTACATGTGCAATCTAGCATGGACTATATTCAAATAATAATGTAACTCAACAAGTAAGAGGACTGGGCTCTGAGTTTATTATTAGCTATTTCTGCGTAGAAAGCACCTGAGATTATCTGTGCCCTGAGACAAAAGCCTGAGGATCTAAATGGACCCATCTCTAAACTTAGTGCATCCACTGCCATCAGGAGCAGCACAGCAGCTCTGCTTTACTCTACAGAAGCAGCTATGCGATTCCCAGAGCTGTGCTCAACACTAGGTTCCAAGTGACCCCAATCCATTGAAAAGGTGCTAGATTCCTCTACAAGAGGGTGAGTTTCCCTGTATTCTGGACCATCTTGGCAAGATGGTTCCATTGCTGTCTGAAAATCATTTTCTACTCACATCTTAGACTGGGGGGTTCATAAATATTTTCTGTAAAGGCAGGCAGTAAATATTTCAGGTGTTGTGAGCCGTACAGCTTTTTTTTATTTTTTTTAAATTTTTTATTTATTTATGATAGTCACAGAGAGAGAGAGAGAGAGAGAGAGAGAGAGAGAGAGAGAGAGGCAGAGACACAGGCAGAGGGAGAAGCAGGCTCCGTGCACCGGGAGCCCGACGTGGGATTCGATCCCGGGTCTCCAGGATCGCGCCCTGGGCCAAAGGCAGGCGCCAAACCGCTGCGCCACCCAGGGATCCCTCTCAGTTGCTTTTCAAGGGCTCCCAGAACTCAGAGCAGGGAGGCGATCTTGGGTTTGCACACCGTGTTTTCCCCGCTCTGGTGTATGTAGTTCCTTAGCCCAAGACCCCAAGACGGGTTACACAATCGTCTGGAAATAAAGCCTTTTGTTTATTCCCAAGGGAGCATCCTTCACAGGCTTTCTTTGGACTTGGGGGGACCTGAGAGAGTTTTGCAGAGTGGGATTTAGTCACAAAACGAGTGATTTGCAAGCCTACTTCTAAGTCGAGTCCTATACGCTTTTTTTAATGCTCTATTTTGCCCCATTCTTATCCTGCGCCTTTCAATTACTAAACACTTTGAGTTTCAGCTTCTGCATCTATAACATGGGCACAAAGCGCCTAGCCTGCTGCCGCAGAATTGAATCAATGAACTTGCGCTGGGCACGTGGTTAGCGCTCAGAGCACGGTGACCGTACCCCGAGTCCTTATACTTGGGCCCCAGGGGCTGGACCAAGTGTGAGGGAGGAGAGCTGCACCGAGGGCCACCCCACCCGGGCACCCACAGCCCCGCTGCCCAGGCCGAGCGCCGCCACTTCCGCCGGACTCTCGTCCGAAAGCGCTACTCCGGGCCGCTTCCGGCCACGCGCGCGACGGGACCCGCCCCGCCCCGCGGTGGGCGGAGCCTGAGGGCGGCCACGCCCTCCGCTTCCGGCTCCCTTTCGGCCGTGCCTGGCCGCGCCTAGCCTCTGCGGGCTCGGGCCGGAGCTGCCCCGCCCTCCTGGGCCCGCCTCCCGTGACATCAGTTCCGGGGCGGGCCGGGCGGGGCCCGAGCTGGGGCGGCTGCCCTGAGCAGTCTGGCTCCGGTGCGCTGACTCCGCTGCCCGCCACGTCGCTGGGCCGGGCTGCGGGCACTTCCCCGCCGTCCCACGGCCGCCCGGCCGCCGCAGGCCTGCCGCGCCCGGGTAAGGGGCCCGCGCCGCCGGCCGGGGAGCTGTTGTCACGGCTGCCTGAACCGGCTTGCGAGCGAAAGAGGGAGGTAGGGGCACGGAGGCAGGAGGGGGACCGAGAAGAGATTAGTGGGGGCGCAGGTGCTAGACGAGGGGACCGGAGAGAGGAAGCCACGGAGGGGGTCAGTCGGGGCACGCATGGGGGACCGAGAGGCCGGAGGGAGGAGGAGGAGGAGGAGGAGGAGGAGGAGGAGGAGGAGGAGGAGGGCGGCTGCAGGGGAGACGCCCGGCTGGTTCGGCAGCGGAGGATGGGAGAGTCGGGACACTCCCATAGGCGCGGGGACCTGGAAGGTCTTCCCGGGGCAAGGTTGGGCCCCAGGAAGTGCTGCCCTGCAGGAAGGAGGTGGCCCTTTGGATGCCCCAGGCCTTCCCCAGGCCCTGCACCGGGGAGGGGGTTGTGCCTTTCCATCTGCCTGCCTCGCTCCCCCGTGTGAGCCTGGTCGAGTGCAGTTACCCATTGGCTGACAGGAGGAAGCGGCATCCACATGGTTTGCCATGAGACACAAACATCGTGCTTAGAAATCTGCCTCTACCAACGTGCAGCTATTTTTACCCCCTGGAGGGAGCATCTCTAAAAATTGCAATAAAATCGGTGAGGAAAGTAAAATACAGATTTTCCTCTTATATGCTGGACTTGCTTCACGGACAAAGGAGTGCCAGATTTGTCCACATTGCTAACAAAAACCAGCCTTCCATCAGCATTTAGCTGTGATACCAAAACTTAGAGAAACCAGGAAGCAAGTAGTGTAATTAAGATGATATCCGCTTCTCCAGGTTTCCATCTGCCACGTATACACATCCTTTAGACCACAGGGCAATGTCTGTATACACAAAACCGTGAACCTGTGTTCCTTGGGTTCTGCTGCCAAAGTTCAGCCAGGTGACGTGTCAGTATTAGGTATCTGTGGTTTGCCCTGCATCTGTTACTGCAGTTCCTGCTTCTTGGTCTGTAGAGCTTCTCCAGCTTGGAGTAGGGGCCCAGGCCATCCTGCTAGTGATTGAAATCCTGCTAGAGTGCCACAATGTGGGAGTAACACTTACAATCCTTTACCAAGCCTAAGGATTACTTGCATTGGATCTTAGGAACCCGTTTGGACCAGAAAAAGGAATCCAGCAATTTGGAGTCTGATTCCATGTGACTTGCACACAGCATTCAGCATTATAACAAGCAGGTTCATAAAAAAGAGGTTTTTTTAAAAAGATCAAGCCAAGGTTGGGAACACAAGAATTCAGAAATGGGCACCTGGGTGGCTCACTGGTTGAGCATCTCCCTTTGGCTCAGGTCATAATCCTGGGGTCCTGGGATCAAGTCCCACATCAGGTTCCCTTCAAGGAGCCTGCTTCTTCCCCCTCCCATGTCTATGCCTCTCTCTGTGTCTCTTATGAATAAGTAAATAAAATCTTTTTTTAAAAATTTCAGAAACAGGAAGTATTGGGAGGCATCACAAGATCATGGACCAAAATAGGATCAGGAAGTTGACACCTAGGGCCACAGTCTGGGAGTGTCTTTCTGATGGAGTGTCACCTGGCTCAAGGGTGCTACCTCCTCCCAGCAGAATTTGTGGGGAGCTGACTGCTGAAAAAGAGGGACTCCCAACACAAGCCTAACTCCTGTCTTTCTATCTGCAGGTCTTCCACTTCATAATAACTTAATTCTTTCTTGTTTATTCCCTCTTGCCCCAGGGTCTCTTTCCTTTCCATCCACTGTAGTCTGAAACCTTGGTGTACCCAGTCTCCCTGCACCCTAATAATGTGAGCCCCTCACTTAAGGCTCACTGAAGCCTTTGCGGGACAAACTATTATTTTAAATCTTTTTGAGGGTTTGCCATTGTGAGTCAACTCACAAAGATGAGTGCAGGTCCCCACACGTGAATCTTGACATTTAGAATATGCTTTTGGAAAGTGGAGGCAGGACCATTCCAGAGAGATGAAGCCATGGCCCAACTAGGGCCCATTCTGTAGTCTAAGGCGGCCAATTCCCATTTCTGTGGGAGTGATCACTAGTCCCACCGCCTGGGAGTGAATAGCAGTGATGGTATCCAGTAGAAGTTTCCTAAGAAACTTGTGGAGTTTCTTGACATAGTCTTAGAGAAATGCACCATGTATGCGTTCACCTTTGTGTTTCTAACTGTGTGTGCAATAGCACACACATGCATGTATACATATGTGGCGGTATGCGGGCATGTGTGTGCCTATACATGTGTGTAGCTGGATATGCATGCAGTTGTATGCACACATAAGTGTGACTGCACACAGGCATGTGTGTGCATGTGCATTGTGCATGTGTGCGGCTGTGTGTGCCCTTGTGGGTGTTTGTATGAGGGAGTGGGCCCATGGTGGTCCTCACACATCACCACCTACTAATATCTGTTACAGCAGGAGGTGATGAGCTATTTCTTAGTCTCCCGAGTTTACCTTAAATATTCATCAATGAGAGAATCGTGGACCAGAATATCTTTGCATTACAACTATCCTCCTGGTTCCTCTAAAGCTTTGGTTGGCTCTAGAAAAATACAACTCCTCGTATATAAATTATGGAGTTTCTCTAAATTATTAAAATCTCCATGTGAAACTGTATATATCCAGTGGGGTTATTTCTGTCCCTTTCTTCCCATAGTTCAAAATACTCAATTCATTGTTTTCTTTCATGAGCCTTTCAGAAATGTTTTCCAAAAGTGTTACATGCTTGTGTGAAAAAAAAATGCATTTGTTTGTTTGTTTATTTATTTATTTATTTAGAAGTAGAAGATGGAAATCACCAGTATATGTATTTTCCCCAGGCATAACCGTCATCATGTTCTTGTGTAAATCTCTCTAGACCCCTTAACAAATGTCTGTTTAAGTAAAAAGGATCATGGTGTGTATACTATTGTATGATCTGCTTTTTCAATCATTAATGATACATGCTGCACATCTTCCCATGTCAATAAATAGGAAGCTATATCTTTTTTTAAGATTTACTTTTAAGCAATCTCCACTCAATGCGGGGCTTAAACTCACAACCCCGGGATCAAGCGCCACACGCTCCCCTGAGTCAGCCAGGAAGTTGTATGTTTTTGAGCAGGTGCCATAATATTTGTTTCTTTTTTTTTAAGGTTTTACTTATTTATTCATGAGAGACACAGAGAGAGGCAGAGACACAGGCAGAGGGAGAAGCAGGCTCCATGCAGGAAGCCTGATGAGGGACTTGATCCCAGGACTCCAGGATCACGCCCTGACCTGAGCAGAAGGAAAACGCTCAACTGTGGAGCCACCCAGGCATCCCAGCCACCATAGTATTTGATATGTGGGTGGGACTGTATCCCTATGTAACCATTCCATTCTGTTTTGCTGTTATAAATAATGCTACGATTAACATCTTTTTAGACCTCCATCTTTAAACATCCATCCAGTTGCTTTCTTTGAAGAAATCCAGCAGTAGAAAGTGCTACATCAGAAGTCTTGACTTTGAAAGTTCTAATACACATTATCAGCTTCCCAGCATGATCATCTATTTAGTGCTGCTGTTTCAGTGCCTCCCTTCTCCCTGGAATTTTTCCCTAAGCTCTTCCTAAGAAGTATTTACTCTTTTTCAAATCCTAGATGCGTCTGTTCCCAGAGTGGAGCATCTGTCCATGTCCTACATCTGCCGCAAAGCATGCCATGGCCTGCGAGTGCTCCCCGAAGTTGCTCTCACCTCCTGCAAAGCCAGACCTCACCCAGAGAGCACACAGTGCCAAGCCCACAACTCTCCAAGGAAGAAAACGGCCCAGCCAGGGAGCATGCCCTGAGCAACTCCTGGTGAGTGTCTGCGGCCCTGCGTGTTAGCACAGTATCGGGATAGTGAGCCCAGAGAGGGCCACAAGAGGGCTTTGCTGCAGGTGGAAAAAAGAAAGAGCAAAGCCCAGAGGACTGAGCTTTCCCATAACCAGGAGGGGCCCATTCTGTGGCACTTCACTGTCTGAGGTTCTGCCTTCCGAGGTAGACCAGGAGTGTGGGCCACGAGCTGGGATGGACAGGCGGGGCTGGGAGCACGTGGTCCTCTAGGCCATCTTCTGTTCTCGTGACACAAATGCCAGACACCACGAGAGGTTTTCTCTTGCCCTCTTGTTGAGATCTTACAATGCCTGCAGGGTATGTTGGCCCTCACGGATGCCAGGGTTGGAGGAGGAACCGCCGAGCAGCAGTGGCCCAGGAGGAGACAGACAAGAGGCTGCCCAGACCACAAACAAGACAGTCTGTGTCTGTCCTGCATTCATGCAATCTATTCAGCACGGTGGATCGGTCCCCCTGTCCCTTAGCAGGATTATCAGCTTTCAAGTTCATCCAAGTGCTAGAGCTGGGTTGGCAAACTATGGCCTGTGGGCCTAATCCTTCCTGCTGCCTGTTTTTGTAAATAAAGTTTTATTGGGACACAGCCACACTCATTGTTTACAAATGGCCCACAGCCCTTTTGCACTGTAGCAGCAGACTTCAGTAGCTGAGACAAAGACCGCGTGGACCCCAGAAATCTAAAACATCTGCTGCCCTGCTCTTTACAGAAAAAATTTGCCAACCTTGCCCTGGAGATTTGTAGTAAGAGGGGTGTAGCAGAAGGCGCTAGGGCCTGGAGTACATTCAGGAAGCCTTAGTCACATCATCCCAGTACAGCGGACCCCAGATCCAGGCCTCACACACAGGGAGCATGCTGGGTTCAGCAGTGGTAGCATTTTAAATGCATTCAGTAGATGTGACTGGCCAAAGAAAGAGTCATTTAAATGCATTTATTATTTTTTTTCTTTATAAATGCATTTATTTACCGAAAGCCCAGCTGCATTGCCTCAGCTCATGGGGAAAGTATGGGTTCTTTGTCCCTGAAACCTTCCAGTTTCAATTCTTTCTTCTCATGGTATCGGCCTGTTTCTTCTCTCCCCACCCTCCCCCACTTGTTTCTGTCAGAACAAAGAATGCCTTTGCACTCTAGAGAACAGATGCAGATCTGTAGCCTGTAGGACTGAGTCCTCTAGACCTGTAAGCTACCAAGAGCCCTTACGGACAGTTTTGGATAGAATGTACAATTTGAGGCTAAAAAACAGCTAGGGACGCTTGCAAAGGTGTGAGAAGCATCAAAGAATGCACCAGCCTTCCAGAAGAGGTGGTGCTCCAGGGGTTTTTCCAGTCTTGGAATCACTTTACCACAATCTCCTCTGATCACAGGAGGCAGAAAGCCACCATGTGGCCACCCTCCATTCATCCCTTTCTGCTGCACAGGGGCTGCTTGGCGTAGCTCCCAGCAGGACTGGAAGCGCTTGTTGGGATGGACTGGTGGCTAAGCCTGGTGCTGGGTTGGAACCTTCAGGTATTCCACATGCCCAGTGGGACTGGGACCACTGGGAAGAGGTAGCAGGGCCAGATTTTGAAGGCTACCTTGGCTGTGTTAATGAGTTTGGGGGTTATCTTGGGATAGTATGGGATTTAAGCAGTGGAGACAAGGTCACCTTTGTGGGTTACAGGATCTTTCTGGAAGCTGTGTGGGGGCATGTGCATCAGGGCTGGGGTAGGGATGCTTGAAGGTGATTCGTTTGTGACTCAGGGCTCACGGGAAGACAGCGAGCCTGCCATAACCGCCAGGAGCTGGCCTAATCACAGGGCAGTGGACAGCCTCCATGCCAGGTGAAGAATTGATCGGGACATTTTCACTTAGTGTGACTTGATGGCCTTCCAAGATGTTCTGTGCAACCCAGGAACTTCATGGTGAGGGCCAGTGGAAAGACCAAAGGTCTTGGGGGTCTTCAGGCAGGACTGATTTTGGAGGTGTCTTCAGGAGCCCCAGACTCCTCGCCTGCCTTGCAGCTCCCAGCATGCCTGTGTTCTATATTCCCTGTGCCCAAATTGAGTGTTTAGTCCATGGGACCACCCATGACTGCATGTGACCGCGTCATAGCCTAGAGAGGACGTGGGCCATTCAGGCAGCTATGCGGGACTCAGGCGGGTAAGCAGGGCTGAGGACAGGTTCAGGGCACACCCAGGACCAGCAGGGAAGGAAGCAATGGGATGCTTGAGGCCAGTGGGCCCCTCTCCTCCCTGCTGCACCCCTGCAGTGAGGGACCCCAGCCTGCCAGCATACTGGAGGGCCCCAGGGTAAGAGTGGGGAGACTCTTGTGTACTCAGGAAGCCGGCTCTGGCTGGACCCAGTCCTCCTCCTGGTGAAGCTCAGCGTCATGGCATTTCTGGAAGTTTCTGCAACCAGCTGGGTGACTAGATCCTCACAACTACCTCTGTCTCTTGCAGTGGCACCCTCCTGGTCCAGTCCTGCAGCCTCCTGTGGCCCTGTCCCCTCCTGCCTGCATTACTACCCCTTCCACCTCCTTGCTGGGCTCCGCTCATGCCTGCCCCTCATCTGTCCCTCCTGCCCAAGCACCTTCTGTGCTAGTGACACACCTGCCTCAGGCCTGCAGGGGCTTCCCCCACACTTCCCAACTGCCTGGTGGTGGCCTGCCAATCTCTGATCTAATCCCAGGTCTCAGCCTCTGGCCCTGCCGCTGTCATCTACTCTCTCACTTGCCTCCCGCACCTCTTCCCCACCAAGTGGATCCCATCCCTTGTTTCAGAACATGGCTCATGTGTTGCTTTCCCAGGAAGCCTTCCCTGGCCACGCCCCTCCACCCACCAGAATTCAGTGCCCCCTCCGAGCCCCACAGCACCCTGTCCTTCCCCACCCACCTTTGGGGCCTCCACACAGAGGACCAGGCTCCCACTTACAGGTCAAGGCCTTCCCATGTGCCATGCCCTGCCTGCTTCCAGGCACTGAGTCACACCTGCTCTGTGCTTACAGCAGCGTGCAGTGACCTCTTTCTGTGTCTCCTACGGGATGGCAAGCTGCCTGGAGGAAGGAGTTGTGTGGCTTTCATCTTTTTGTTCTATTTGCACTGCTCAGCACATGAGCAGGGAATCAGGGAGTATTGGTTGAATGGAGGGGTGGATGGATGATGGATGGATAGATGGGTGGGTGGTGAATGGGTGGAGGGATGGGTGGGTGGGTGGTGAATGGATGAGTGAGTGGTAAATGGGTGGTGGATGGATGGGGTGAATGGATAGATGGATAGATGTTGGATAGGTGGATTGATGGGTGAGTGGATCATAGATGGGTGAATGGATGACACATGATGAATAGATGAATCTAGATCGATGGATCAATCGATCGATCAATAGATAAATGAATGCTTTCTCCCATGTGAGTCAGAGGATGCCTGGGTGGCTCATTCGGTGAAGCGTCTGCCTTCATCTCAGGTCATGATCCCAGGGTCCTGGGATCAAGTCCCACATTGGGTTCCCTGCTCCTCAGGGAGCCTGCCTATCCCTCTCCCTCTGCCTGCTGCTCCCCCTGCTTGTGCTCTCACTCTGTCTTTCTCTCTCTGTCAAATAAATTTTTAAAAAAAAAAAGGTGTGGTTGGCTATCAGAAGCTAGCTAGGTTGGGTGTACAGAAGTAGCTTGGTCCAGATATACATGATCTTGGCTGATCCTGATTACCAAAAGACCTTGACCTCTCTCTACTGCTTTTTCACACTAGGATCTCTGGGTAGGAAGGTCGGTCAAGGCATGCTTTAAACCCATCAAATGCAGGCACAGAGCAGATCACTAGACCACCATGGTTAAGACGTATCACACTTCCTGGGCGCCAGGCCTTGGTCTAAACACTCAGCTTGGTTTGCACCCTGGTCCTTGCTAGAACCCTCCATGACAGGTACCGTGCCATGCCCCATGTCCCAGGTGAGGCTGTGCATTACTGACCAGACACCTTCTTTCTTGACCACAGACCCTTCAGCCAAGCAGCAGGGAACCATTAGCAGCCTGAGGATTGGCCAGCTGGGAGCCTCAGGGACCGCCCAGCCTTGCTCCTGGCTCACCCAAAAGATGTGGACAGCCCTTGTGCTCGTTTGGATTTCCTTCTTGTCCTTATCTAACAGCCAAGTGCCAACTCAGGATTCAAGTAAGTGAGAAAGCTCTGTGACTGCTGGTCAGGCCCACAGTGGTCCCAAAGCACCCTGAGCCCAAGGGATATATACAAGCCTAGGCTGGTGAGTTGGGGGCCCCAGTGCTGCCTGGATGCTGCTCTGGGGAGGGTTGTTAGGCCATGCTTCTTGGGGGCCAGCTTGGGTAGAAAGCCCCCAGGGGACTGGGCCTTTGAGTCCTGAGAGGGTCACTTGCTTGGCCCTGCAAAATCTTTTCTATAAATCTGAGCTTCACTGGGGAATTCATCTGTTCATACATCAAATATTTCATTACACTCCTGCCGTGTGCCAGGCACTGTTCATCTCCAGAAATTCCTGCCACAAATCCTTTCGTAAAGCCAAGAATTCTTTTATGGTGTGAATATCTGGGCAATGATTTACTGCTTTGTAAACTTAGGTGTGTGTTTGATGGGTTTTGTTAATAGTGATTCACACCTCTACGGTGAGACTTTCACTGTTTTGGGAATCAGATCAAAGAGTGAAGCTCTCAAGCCTTCCAGGGGTTCAGAGGACGAGGAGTTTTTACATCCACTCTGCTGGGCAGCAGGCTTCATGTGCTCAGGGGGAAGATAAGAGGGAAGCGTGTTCACACATCACGTTTGTTCTCACCGAGGCAAGGGGAAAGCCACCCACGCCAGGCCAATAGGCCAGCAATTAAGATACTCTTTGAATCATCCACCTGCCCAGGACGAAAATTGATGGTATCTCTTTCTTCTCCCTTTTCTGACTTTAAGGGCACTTACTCCCCAACCAGACGGATAATCCAGCCAAGATAAATGCATCTGTAATGACAGTTATAAGCATCCTTAATGGAACGTCTAAAACAGTGACCGGGGTGACACCTTCTCCTGTCACCTTGGCTGCAGGGACTCCGGAGGCCAACCCCAGCTCTCCTGTGGTCATAGCAGGGAGAACACTCAGGACAGACACAGGGACAGAAGGTCCCCCTGACCCAGTCACCTCCAGCCTGCCCCTGCCATCTGCCCTGACGTCATCAGCATGGCAGACTCTATCCTCCAGCACTCTCATCAGCACATCCCCAATGCAGGTGCCAAGAATAGCATCTCTGACGACACCGGCCACTAGTGCTCAGACTGCCCCTGGGATGACACCAGGTGCCAATGGCCTGACAGGCACACAGGGCCCTTCCGAGCACATCCCTGGCAACTCCCCAGCCAGCCTGGCACCCTCCTTGAGTCCCCAAGCACTTAATGAGTCCATACAAGTCTCCATCATCCAGACGCCGACAGCCTGGCCTATGGATGGAACAGCAAGTGGGCCCGCATCCACCCTCTTCAACACAACCTCAGACCCCACCCGCATATCCATGGCTTCTGTGGCTTCTGTGTCCACCACCGCAGTGACCACCACCACGACACAAGCCCAGGAGCTGACTACCAGCACAGAGCCAGCACCTGCACCTCACACCAGCCCAACCCCCGAGGTGGAGGTCACGTCCCCCACGACACAGCCAAGCCCTGCTCCGTTGACCCGGGATGCCACAGGACCAGGCACACCCGGGACACCAGAACAGGTGCCACCCGAAACATCACCTGGTACTGCTTCCACCGCCCTGACACCCGGGAGTTCAGGGGGCTCTAAGATGCCAACCACAGACTCGTGCTCGCTTAGCACCCAAGGCCAGTACCTGGTGGTCACCACCAAGCCCCTTTCCCAGTCTCTAGTAAACAGAGGCTTCCTCCTGGCACTGCTCTTGCTCGGGGTGACTCTCTTCATCATAATTTTGGTTCTGTTTGCCCTACAAGCCTACGAGAGCTACAGGAAGAAGGAGTACACACAGGTAGACTATCTAATCAACGGGATGTACGCAGACTCAGAACTGTGAGGAGTCTGGGAGGCTGAGCCCACCTCTCCTTCCATTTTGCCTCTGAGACCAAACCCAGTGCTTCCAGATTCCTTTGGTGCAATTAGGAGCTATGCCGGATGCTTCAACACATTTACATGCTGTCAGACAAATTCCACGATCACTCGAGTTGCTGCTTTTTCATATTTATTTTTATAAACAGTCATGTTCATGGAGCAGGCAGCGATTCCCCTGTGGGCGGGACTGGCAGGGTCCCAAGGTGGATCCCGACCAGAATTAAAGCAATGACTGCTTTCCATTCAGCCCTGTGTCTCGGCCATTTGTGTAGGCCGAGTCCTGCCAACCCTTACGTCGTGATGAGCCTGCCTGGGACACGCATGATGGGGTTCGTGTTCATAAACACTTGCTGTAACCCCAGGCCCTGGGATCTGTTATGTTTGTGTCACTTTCTGGGGCTTCACTCTTTTTTTTTTTTTTTTAAGATTTTATTTATTCATAGAGACACAGAAAGGGCGGGGGGCAGAGACACAGGCAGAGGGAGAAGCAGGCTCCATGCAGGGAGCCTGACGTGGGACTCAATCCTGGGTCTCCAGGATCATGCCCTGGACTGAAGGCAGGAGCTAAACCACTGAGCGTCCCCGTGCTGCCCCTGGGGCTTCACTCTTATGCCCACACCTGCCCTGCCCTTGGTGAGGAGCGTGCCAGCCTCTGGGCACCCCTGGCACCACGTGCGGTTGGGGCCTTCCCACAGACATCCTTTTGCTGAATTGTTTAGTGGTGCATGCTTAGAGTCTGATCTGGGCACGAGAGAGCTGAAGCCAGCACGTTAACCACATGTGAGCTGTCCGGCATGGCGGGTCAGCCTGGACCTGCTCGGACTAGATTCTCAGTGAACCTGCATAGCTCACGCTGTGCACTCACCTCATGGAAACCCAATCAGCTCATGTGGCAGGACAGTCCTTACTAGCACCTTGCCCTGTGTCACCCTAGAACACAGAGGAGCCCCCAGCGTGAGGGCACCCAGGGCTCTCTCCTGCACAGGATGATGTTCCTGGGTTCCTGTGTTCCAAACAGCCCTCAGAGCCCGCACAGGGGGCCTGTCATGTGTGCGTCAGGTACTTAACTGTCCTGGCTACTCATACTTCACACGCTAACCCGCTTAACCTCCACCTTGACCCCAAGACAGAGGCATAGCCATCCCGACCCCACTGAGGCACAGAGGAGCAGGAGACATACTCACCCCCTGAGGGCCAGAATCAGGGTTAAACCCATTCTGGAATCCTCCCTCTTTACCGACTCCCCTGCCCAGGTGGAGCTTGGCCTGCAGCCTTACTCAGCCTACCTGCCCAAGGCAGTGAGAGCTGGTGGGCAACACATCAAGCTGAGTCCCCAGACCAAGTGTGCGGTGGCCAACTGCGTGACTTGGAGCAAGTGTGGAATGCTCTGGAACCCCACTTCTTCATCTGTGGAATGGAAAGACCTAGAATCACCTAGAAATCCCGTAGGAGCCAAGGGAGGAGAAACAGAGTAGGGAGCAGGGATCAGAACACCCACGTGGTCCTCACCTGCCTTCTAGCTCCACCAGGTTCCTGCAGCCTGTCTGTTCTGCCTCTCTGTCTGTGGTCTGTCCACCAGCCCCCTTTCCCCTCTCAGGCCTCTGCCTGTGTCTGAGCCATGCCATGTGTCCCGGCAGCTAGGCCTCAACCAGCTTGTGCCTCTGGTTTCTCCCTTCCCCAGAGGACACCATCGCACCTCGGAGCCCATCGCGTGCATGCTCATGGGTATTGGTGCTGGCTGTACCTGGAAGGTGCTTGTTCCAGCCCCTGCCTCGTCATTCTTGCTCCTGGCCGGAGCTGCCACGCATCTTGCATCACTGTGCCCTGACAGTTGCTCTGCATTTCAGGGGAGAGCATCATGCCCTTTCCTCTGCCAGCCAGCGCTGGCAGCCTGCACCGGGACCTGTCTGCGGAAGGCAGGTCTCATAGCCAGGCTGGTTGAGTCTCGTGAGAGCCAGAGACTCGGACCCATGTGAACCAGGGCTTGGAGGCTATCCCCACAAATTGGGTGCTTTGTTCCCTTCTGGGGAGGTGGGATGGGGGACAACCCACAGGGATGGCTTTCATCCTCAGCTTACGGCCAGGGGCCTCTGCCTGGCACCCCTATGTACAAGGAATGAGGGCACAGGACGTCAGGGCCTGCCTGCCTCCCTGCCCCAGCCAGAGACGTCCTGTCCTTTCATCCCCTGAGAATTGGTTGCAGTCTCCATCCCTCCCTCCTTGGGGGGTCATGTTCCCAACTATCTAGTCATCTTGGCTCCCTAGGTGGGCCACAGGTGCCTCAAGCCTTGGCGTCCATGGCCAAGCTCAGCATTGGGCCCCAGAGTGTCCTGGGCCCTTGGGGTTCTTCCTAAACCTACAGGCATTGCTGCTTACCTGAGCTAGAGACCCGTGCTTCAGCCCAGGGTCCTGTCAACCACCCACAGACTCTTTTCCTTTTTTAAGATTTTATTTTTAAGTAATCGCCACACCCAATGTAGAGCTCAGAGTCCCAACTTTGAGATCAGGAGTCACGTGCTCCACTGACTGAGCCAGCCATGGGCCCCTTCCCCATATTCTTGTGAACAGGCCCCTGCTGCTGCCCTGCCTGGGACCTTGCCACCAAGTGCCAGCCCCAACCCAGCCATCCTCCACCCTGTAGCCAGGGGCCCCTTGAAACACAAACATGAGCACACCTTTTCCAGTCAGTATTTCTTCCCAAGATAAAGGCGAAGCTGCTCTGTCTGGCATTCTAGATCAAGGCAAACTTGGCTAGTCCTGGCCAAGCAGAGCATGAGGGAAAGAGCCAGTCTACAGAGAGCTCACAGGAGGTGGAGACCATGCATGTCCAAGTCTGGGGGGTGCCGCAGGTTTGAGTCCCGAACTATCCCCCTGCCTTGGAGGCCTCCAGCCCACAGTGAGCAGGCATTCCTGGCCTGCTCAAAAGACCCATTCAGCATTAGCTCATCAGGTATTCATTGAGCACCCACTGTTTGCCAACCAGTTGGGAATTCAGAGACAAATCCACCTGCCCTACCCACAGGAACTCACCATGTGGTGAGTGAGATGTGACAAACACAAGGAGGGAGGCAAGAGGTGAGCACATGGAGGAGGTGCCTTACCCTCCTGGGAAGGTCAGGGAAGGCTGCTTGGCAGAGAGGACTCAGAGCCCCTCTCTTCCTTGCGTTTTGCTGTGGTGGCTGTGGCTGTGGCTGGTTCAGTGGCCAAAGCAGCACTGACGCAGAGGAGCAGGGTCCCTACTTGAGAGTCTAGATGGAAGGCCGAGGTGCAGTGAAAATCAGACTCGGGGCTCGGCCTTCAAACTTCCCTCCAGTGAGGAGACCAAGGTGTGGGAAGGCCGAGTGGCTGCCCAAAGCCACCCTCCAAGCAAGTGGCAGGACAGGATTCACTCTGGGAGCACAGGCAGCTGGGGCACCCAGGGACCCAGCCTATCTCCTCTGGGGGCAGCCACGTATCCCCAAGCCAGGGAGGTCCACGGGCTCCCCCTAGCGGCCAAGCCTCACTCCTTCATCCTGAGTGCTGGCACGCCCTGGGTGCTAGTCCTAGCACCACCCAGCACAGCACCCCAGCCTTCCCCTCGCTGCTCGGGGGTCTCCCTCCGTGCTAGCTCCCCTGGCACCGGGAAGCCCCCCCCCTGGGAACCCCACACTGAAGAGCTCTTGCCCCTGCATGCTCCCAGCTGGGGGTCTCTTCCTGTAGGACACACTGTTCTGGGTGGAATCCTGTCATTTGTGCCTGCGACCATCTCCCCCCAAAAGGAAGTCAGGATTTCGGGGAGAACGCAGTACCCTCCCGACCACAGCCCTGCACTTCTGTCCCAGAAGCAACCAGCGGGGTTGCAAGGAGCAAACCATTCATGTCCATGCTCGGCCACAATTTTTATATCTACATCTATGCTTCAAAATAAGAGAGACCAGTGTCTAGGCAGCACAGGCACTGATGATAGCTATCATCTCATTTAATAATCTCAGATTTCAGTCTTTCTGCTCCCCCACCCCCTCACACAAGTCATCCTCCAAGGCAGCCAGAATGATGATTTAAAAATACAACCCAGATCAGGATACCATCCACCCCGCCTAGGTCCCTCAAAGGCTTCTCACCATAGAAGGAAAAAAAAAAATCCAAATGTGAACTAAGGATGCACGTGGCCAGAGAGAAGCATTCGCGAAAAATCTGGAAAACGGGGATCCAGGCAGAAGGAGGAGGGGAGTAGTCAGTCTCTGGACAGAGAGACACTGGTGGGCATGGACAACTGAAGGGCAAGGGGGGGAGTGACAGACGGGGGGGCCGGGCTGGGAGGACATGGCCAGTGTGGGGCAAGGAAGAGGTGGAGGCCCAGGACTCTGCTCCGCAGATTAATGTCCTCTGATTTCAGGTTGAAGCATTATTTTGTTGCACTGAAGTCTTCACAGATGAAGTGGGTGCCCCTGGGGTTCACTTTTTTCTTTTTAAGTAGGTTCAATGCCTAAGAACGCGGGGCTTGAACTCATGAAGGAGATGAAGAGCTGCACGCTCCACCGGCTGACCCAGCCGGGCGCCCTGGGATTCACCTTGGCGTGAGTGGTGGGTGAGGGGGAAGATGCCACAAGACAGCATGTAGCTGCTGTGGACGACGGGTGGTGGGTGCAGCAGGGGCCACTACCTACTCCCTCTGTGTGCATGTCTGGAGAGTTCCATGATGAAAAGTTAAAAAGAAGAAGAGAAAGGAAGGGAGATGTAGAGCTGCCATTTTTAAAAAGATTTTATTTATTTATTTATGGGTGACACAGAGAGACGTAGGCAGAGGGAGGAGAAGCAGGCTCCATGCAGGGATCCCAAAGCAGGATTCGATCCCAGGACTCCAGGATCGCACCCTGAGCCAAAGGCAGACACAACCACTGAGCCACCCAGGTGTCCCTAGAGCTATCATTTAAATCTCTTAGGTAAATGATGGCTCTGGTTGTGATGTGGAGGGAGGCTGGGGGGCAGCGCATAAGAGCCAGTCAGTTGGGAGGCTGCTCAGTGTCCCAGGCCGTGGTGATGGGGACACGGCTTGGACTGGGGAGTGTCCCAGAGGGAGAGACGCACATGAACATGGGGATGTGTTTTGGAAGCTGAGTCAACAGGACGTCCAGTGTTTCTTTCCATACCGCCCCCGCCACACACACACACACACACACACACACACATACACACGCGCGCGCCTGCACACAGCAGAAGCCAGGATGGCCTCTCCATCTGGAGCTTGAGGATGGGATGTGGGGGAGGTCATTTCCAGGAGCTGGGGAGCAGGGCACCCCTATTCTCCGCACTTTGCACAGTGATTCATTGCTACAATCCTACGAGACAGAAGCATCCTTATCATCATCACCCCTAGCCCACAG